TAACAATACCATTAGAACCGCATTTCTTTGCACGATGTTTGTCAATTTACAATTAACTTTTTCTGTCAAGTTTAAATTATCGTAATAGATTATGAAAACTTTTTTCTGTACTTATGCTTACTAAACAAATTAAACAATTCAACGATAATTTGATATTTTCATACACATTTTTCTTCCTACCAAACTTCATTATGATACAATTTGAAGTTTATTGAAAGTTTTCATGTTAACCTCGTAGAATTGATACTACTCTATTAACAATTAATGACAATTTACATACTTTATCTAATATTAATTCTGATAATTTTTGATTATTCTTTTACAATTTATTTTGATACTAAGATAAGGGACATGATGATTCTTACACAGCAATGAATAAGTTCAAAATTTTTTTGACAAGTATTACCACTGTTTATAATGATAGTTCAACTATGTTTTGAAATAAACGGTACACAAAAAATAGTATTATTAAACATACGATTATGTCCCTTGCACAACGTAAAATGGCACTTTTTTAACGATATTTTTTCATGTTCCATAAATCATTAGTTATCATGAGATGATACACATACTCTGTTCTTACGATATCTGATATTATTAGGTATTTCAACATTTTTTCCATTGATTTTCAAATCTAGAATGTAACGTTTGTTGATAAAGTACAGAACCGTCATTCCAGAGTTAAACGTACTTTGATATGATAGTATACTTCTTTGCCAATATTGGCAGTCGGTTACAACGCTGCCGATGTTTGACATCGATCTTTTCTTTTCTTCTGTTGCTGAGAATATTATTCTAAACCTCCGCACAAAAAATTTTTCTCAGATTATAGACATCTTATAAATAATTATAAGTTGAACTGATAACTCTTTAGTATAGAAATTAGTTCCATTAGGTATGATACTTTGAGATTTATAATACAGTATAGCCTGTTAGGAAAACAAAGAATATAAGATACCTTTTTTGGGTTTTCAAAAATTAAATTTTCTTTTTCATCACTTTTTCTTTTCACAGTAAGTTTTCTTCTCTAAAATGAACAGATGAAAGTAATTTTGGAGTATACAATACTTATTGATCTTGTAGTTCTTAATTAATTAATAACCTATTATTTATTTACTCATCACTTAACTTAAAAAACTTTACAAGAATTTTCCTATAAATATAGTTCAAGTCTTATAACATATTTTTTTTTTATTTCAACCATTTTTTAACCTTAAAAATGATAAGAAAATTCAAAACCTGAACTGTTACGAAAATTCTTTATTATTTTTTAAGTATTTCTTAACAATGTCTCAAAGCATTTTTGCCATTATTTTATTGCAACTCCTTGTTTGTAAACCCTCTTCTGGGCACTCTTGAGCTACGGAATTGTATATTTTAACGAGAGCTGTGGACACATTGATACACGGTATATACCTTCAAAGAGTGTCATAAAATAGGATTAAAGAACAAGGGGGTGCAATAAAATAATAGCCAATAGCCCTTTAGCACTTTATTAAGGAATGTCTGAAAAATTTTTACAAACTTTAGCACCATTAAAATTTTTGGTTTCTCATATTATTTTATTGGGTTAAAAAGACTTTAAATAAAAATATTTCTGAAACTAATAACT